GCGGTTTGAGGCAGGGGGTCCCACATAAATGATGACGGATTTCGTGGAGCTGGAGGGTCACACGTAGGCACCTTGTCACCTACTTAAGGAGGTGACGACCTCGGTTCGTGTTGACCTCGGTGTATGTTGACCACTTCGGTCTTCGGTAGTTCGGTCCGGTCTGTCGCCTGAACCGGGGTGGTGTATGTGACAACGTCGGTTCAATGATCATCTTCCTTCTAATGTGTTTGTCTAGAATTCCTTAATGCATGTTTACCGATCCGGATGTTAACAATTTCCATGATTCATGTTGATAATATTTTGGTCAAGATAAATATTACACCATATTTTATTTTTTTTCACAAATATTCATTTTTTAACCATAATATTATTTTTTTTTATCACAAATATTCATTTTTTATCCAAAAATATTTATGGACAATCGTAACAGGTTAGGTAGAATTTTTTTTTCAACTAAGCAGACAAAATCAAGTTGGTCAATTAATCTTTGTCAATATATTTTTTTCTTAAGCTTTATTTTGTTAAATAATAAAAAATAAATTGTTCTTCAAATTAATATAATTTACCATTTAAGATATAATGACTAGATACATTAGATAGTTTTACTAATGGTAAAATATTGAAAATGAAATGTATTAACTATTTTAGAATTTATTTGTATATTATTGGCACCCATGATTATTTTTTTTATTTTTTTATTTTGATTTATTTCTATAATTAAATTCTTGTAAAATATATTTTCATTGCAGAGTATGCTAAATAAACTATAAATCCTTATAATGCGAATTAGAAAAATCTTGATCATAGAAGGGATTGAGAGTTTTTGGCATTTATAAATCAAAATTATTTAATTAGTATACAAAATTAAATTATAAAAAACATGTGTATATATTGCAAAATATTTATACCTTGTTTAATTTTAAATTTATTTGCATATTTTAAATTGATCATAAATAAATAATACTAACGTCCATTAAATATCTTTCAATACATAAAATAAAAATAAAAAGAATACGTACAACTTCTATAACTTTATAAATAATAATGACATTATATGTCAATAAAGTTTATAATAAAATATAATAAAATAATAATTAAGTATTATATGGTGAAAAAAAATAAGTAGAATTGTTATTTCTCTCTTATATCAAGGAATAAATATATATACTAAAATCAAATTTATATTAGTATAAATGTGTTGGTGAGATAATATATTAATTAATTTACAAACTAGCCTTATCATACTCATATTTAAGAATAATGCTACTTGTACCCCTTGGTGTACCACTTGGTTTACATCCAAGGGGTACATGTACACATTTACCCTTAATGAATAATTTACTAATTATTCATTAAAGGTAAATGTGTACATGTACCCCTTGGATGTAAACCAAGTGGTACACCAACGAGTACATGTAGCATGATCTCATATTTAATGTTTTGACTAAAAAAATAATGTTGATTAAAAGGGGTGCAACATAGATTATAACATTATTGTTTAATACACTTAACGCTAATTAAAAGAGGTGAAAAATAGATGATAACTCTATTGTTTTAAGTACTTAAACAGAAAAAGCCTAAGCTTGTGAAAATAACTCATTTAAAATTTCTGTCACGTGCATCGCACGGGGTACGTACTAGTAGTTGAAAAAGCTAGAATGACATTTAAAAAAAATAGGAGGGAGTAATTCTTATTATATATATAAGGTTGGGTTCACATGAGAATGATGCTTAGTGAAAGAAATAAGACTAAATCGTAGCCACTAGATCAAATGATCTAATGGCTAAAAAAAACCAAAATTATACATTTATTAAGGGTAATGTGGTAATTTACACAGTACATCAAAAGAGATGGGCTCCATTTCAAATTAATCCACCTGTCAACCAACCCCACTAACCCACCAGCCACCCCACCCCATCTACCCCAAACTCTCTCTCTCTCTCTCTC